GTTACAAATTGAACATAATTAAAGCATAGTGATTAATCACAAAAACAATATGTAATTATATATGTGTTTTCCGATGTCTTAGGCAACCCCTGTGAAAGAGTCGTTTGACCCCCAAAGGGGTCGAGACCCACAGGTTGAGGACCGCTGGCTTAGTGCCTGCTTCCTCACCAACACGCAATAACTGTTAGGGGAAGCACCCCCTATCTGGAGATGTGAGTTTTCATGCCTTGCTTTTCTGCACTGCCTTATATGGAATCATAGTCAATCTAGGGTACCCACATTGCATGGAGGGGAATTTGGGCCATGGGAGTGGGGAGGCAAAGAGGAAAGCCATCCCAGGGCCTCTCTTTGACTTCCAAACCAGACCTTCGTCAGACAGAGTTTTGAAAGGTAAAGCCAGAGCCAGGTTTAATTATGATGTGAAAGGAAGAACCAGGCAATAGAAGCCATAAATGCCAGACACAGTGCTCACTCCTTACAATTGAAGAGGTTAGATGAGGACGAAGGTCCCTGTCCCCCCTCCCCCGGGGGTGTGGGTGAGACAGGGCAGGATTGCCAAGGAGAGTAGCAAGAGGCTGGAGCTGACGGAGGCAGGAACCTAGGGGGATGGCAGGTGGGGGAGGGCAAGCATTCCAGTTCCTCCCCTGCAACCACCACGCAGAGGGACAGGCAGTGACAACACAAGGCGGATACTTGGCTGAGCTGCAGCTGAACTCCCTCACACAGCACCCCTCCCACTATCCCAAAACCCAGGACACCTATAGTCCCAACCTACGTGACAAAAGATAATTCCTGACCTTCAGGGGGCACTGGCTTTTCTTTTGGTGGCCCAGTGGGTGTTTCTTTCTGGAAGCCCAGCATCTGAATCCCCATCCAAGCCTAGGGAGTCCCCACCATGGGAAGTCAGCCCCCCACTGACGACAGAAGCCCCAGAGTCAACAGTTCGATGGATCAAACTTTGGGCCTCAGTTCCCCATCTGTTCCTGTGTCCCACCCTGTGCCACACCACTGTGCATCCTTCCTTTGTAAGAAGGAGGGTATTTCCCAGTCCTGCTCTGGGGCTTGGCCATGTCATTTACTTTGGCTAAAGACATATGGGCAGAAGCATCAGCGTACAAGTTCCGAATCTGGACCTTAGGAGGCCTCACGTGACTCTGCTTGTCCTCTGGCTCCATTTTGGGAGAACTTTACGTGAGCTGGCTGCTGGTCTGAAGATGAAGACAGGTAGGGCTAAGCACCTCCTCACCCTACCCCACCCTGCTACTCCACAGCCTTGCACCAAGAAGCAGAGCTGCTCAATTGAGGGCAGCATAGAACAGGCATCCCAGTTGAGTCACAGATACACGAAAACCATCCGTTTATTTTTTTCTTTATTTCTTTTGTTAGCCCTCACCCAAAGATATTTTTTCCATTGATTTTTAGAAAGTGGGAGGGAAGGATTGAGGGAAGGAGGGAGGGAGAAGAGGAGGGAAGGGCAGGGGAGGGGAGGGGAGGGGAGAGAGAGGAGAGAAGAGAAACATTGATGTGAGACACATGGATTGGTTGCCTCCTGCACGTGCCCTGACCAGATCTGGGGATCGAACCCGAAACACATGCCCTTGACTGGAAATCGAACCCAGAACTCTTTGGTGCACAGGCCAATGCTCTAACCATTTAACAACATGGCTAAGGCCCAGCCATTTATTTTTGCGTGCCACTGAGACTTGGGTTGTTTGTTACATGTTGTCAGCAGCTGACTAGCACACTCACATACTCACTTTCCTGGGGATCCAGGCAGCTAGGTTGGCACAGGACATGGACTAGGCCGGTGGTCGGCAAACTGCAGCTCGGCAAACTGCGGCTCGCGAGCCACATGCGGCTCTTTGGCCCTTTGAGTGTGGCTCTTCCACAAAATACCACATGCAGGTGCGCACGTACAGTGCGATTGAAACTTCGTGGCCCATGCACAGAAGTCGGTATTTTGTGGAAGAGCCACACTCAAGGGGCCAAAGAGCCACATGCGGCTCGCGAGCCGGCAGTTGGCCGACCTGGGACAAGGCCAATAGGATGTTTCCACTCAGGAAAAAGTGATGCAAAGAAACAGCATCAAGGCAGGAGTATCCAGTTTCCAGGGACAGCTGTGGCCGAGGGCCCAGGGCAGATGGCTGCCAGTTGAGACATCTGGATTCCGTGGTGGTGGCAGAAGCGTCCTCACCAGTCAGTCCCCTGACCTGATTTCAGCTGGTCACCCCAGCTGCCTTGCCACCTTGATTCTTACTGTTTTCTGAGCCTGATTTTCCAGTCTTCCTGCCACTTCTGTGAGTAACCCAATAGCCCTCCAAAGCACATCTTTGCTATTGAAATCGGCCAGTTTCTGTTGTTTGCAAATGAAATCCCTGACTTACATAAGACTGGGAAATCCCAGCATCTCTTACCTTTACATTATAATTGTGTTAAGTGTTTGGGTTGCAAATAACAGAATAGCCGACCACTAGTATCTTACGATACTAAGACTCTTAAGCAGCACAGACATTGTGATTCTCAGAAAAAGGAGTCTGGAGATCAGAGGTTCCAGGGTAGAACTGGTGGCCTCATAATTTCAGGGCTCTGGGAAGCAGCCTCTCTGTGCTTCTCTTAACTTGCTCCTCATGGCCACAAGAGGGCTGCAGAAACTCCTGCATACTGTCCTCATAGGAAGCATGAAGGGATTGAAGGGGGCAATAAGGCCTTTTCCATGACCAGAAACCCCCACCTCAGACCTTCCCTTAAAGCTTGGCCAGAGCTGGGAAATTTGCCCAGGCTGAAAACAACCCCTGCAAAAGGCATTACCAAAAAAAAAAAAAAAAAAAAAAAAAAAGCTGAGCCAAATCCTAAATTAACCCCCACCCAAGGCTGGGCACACTGCTGCTGGCGCCAAATCAAGGCTCTATGGGTGAGGAGGGAGACATGGCTGCGGGGATAGCAACAGTAGGGTCAGCCACAAGAATTAAGCTGGGGTCTTTTCTTAAAAAAAAAAATTATTGATTTTAGAGAAAAACATCAATGTGAGAAACATTAATAAGTTGCCTCCCGCCCGCACTCTGACCGGGGATAGAACCCGCAATCTGGGCATGTGCCCAGAGTTAAGCTGAGGTCTTAGTGTGTGGGGAGCATGGTCTCGTGGACCATCTGCCCTTGGGGTCCACGGACAGCGCCCACAGACACTAGAGTGCATGAGGCTCTGCTCCCACCTCCCCACCCAGAACTTCTCATTTGTGTAACAGACATTCCTGGCTGTGCCTCCTGGGACACACGGCCAGGTGCCCCTAATAAAACCCGTGCGCGGAGACTCCACCATGAGAAGGGAAATCTCTGGGGCCGTGAGAACAGAGGAGCTGCAGCTACATTCCAGGACACAAAGCCAGGGGCAGATTTCCAAACTGGCCAGGTCTGGGGCAGATTCCCACCTCACACGACTCCCCGGAGGCCCCTCTGGCCCTTGCTGGCTGAAAGGCCCCAGAAGTCACACTTGGCCTCCCTCTCACGGGCCTGCATCCCACTGTCCCTGGAGACAGCGTTTTCCCACAACCCCAGCCCAGGTGCAGAGGGAGGCTCCAGGAGCCCGAGGTGGGGAAGCAGGCCATCTGGAAGGAGACGGGCTTCCCCAAGCTCGGTCCTCATGCACAGTGGATGCTGCCCTGGGTGAAAGGTGAAGAGAAGTGATAAGGTGATAGGCTGCGGACTCCTTCAGGGAGCCACACAGAAAGGGCCAGGCTGGCCCGGGGGCATGTGCACAAGCTGTTTGTTCAACTGTGTATGAGCAAGCACATGTGTGCAGGTATGCCTGAGTAAGCGTGTGTGTGTGTGTGTGTGTGTGTGTGTGCAAGCCTCTGTATATGGGTACACATGTTCTGCCTTTCTCCAAAGGACACAAACATTCACAAAGTTTCAAGCCAGTTTCTGCTAAATTAAAAACAGCTTTTTCGTGTTTAAAGTTTACAATACGAAAAATAATTTTCCTTTCTTCCGGGGGGGGGGGGGTGGTGAATGGAGAAGGAGGGGTAGAGGGCCCCCGAGAACATTCCACGAACCAGCCCAGACGGTTACGCACAATCGACTGGTTAGATACGGCAGCACCCCCTCCACCCTGCACCGGCACCCCTGCCAGCTCATTGGGGACAAGATGTTCTGAGGTGTGAGCTGATCTGGGGAACTTGTAGCTGGCAAAGGCTTCTCACTGCCCCCTGAAGGGGCCGTGCCTCTAGCAGAAAAGGGTTCTTTGGGGGGAGCTCAGGTTAGGGAGGTGAGAAGAGGCCAAAATGTTCTGGTAAGTCCCCAAGGACCCTGCTTTCCTTTCAATACCCCTGAAAGCATGGGCTCCTTCCTGGTTCCCAACCAAGTTCCTATTTCAGCACTGCCTCCCGACTCAGCCTCACCCTGGGGCCCCGTGGCTGCTGGACGGGAGCACCAGGCCTGTGGTATGTTTTGAGGGTGACCTGGAAGGCTCCCCTCTCAGAAGGCTGGACGTGAACAAGCAGGCAGTCTCTACCAAAGTACAGCCCCATTCACAGTGAGGCTGCCACAAAACCAAGGACTGGGGCAGCTCGTGGAGCTCTTGGCCCCTATGGGAGCATAATGACTTCATGCTTCCTTTAGGCCTGCCCTTTCTCCTCTGCATTGCAGCCTCTGGGAGAGGGGCTCCACAGCCACCCGATCTTGCACCCCAGAACTGAGCAGATGGAGACAGAACCTGTTAGGGCTGAATGCTGGTTGGTGGCAGGGGGCCAGACCACCAGGCACATAGAACAGCCTGGAGAGTTGCCAGAGGCCACGAAGTTTGCCCTCTGTCTTCCCAGCATCCAGTAGAAGAACCGGCCCCACTTCCTGCTGCCCTCACTCACATCCCTGAGCTAAAGACTGGACCTTTTCCAGCTCTTCTGCAGGGATGGGAAAGGGTGAGGTGGGAGAGGGGGCCCCAAATGCACAGAGGACAGGAGGAATCTGTGACCTATCAGGCTCCACAAACTCGGCACGGGGCCTGCTCCATCTTTTCACCATAACATTTTTATTAAATACAAGGAAAATATTAGGAGACGACGTCTGCTAAGGTATGAGGTTAATTCTTTACACAGCGAGTGGGTCACAGAAACATGACATCAATCGTCTGTTAGCAGCAGAAGAGACACTTTAAGTTGCCCCAAGGGTATAAATCCCATTTATAAGGCAGCGGTGCTGGCCTCTTAAAAAAAAAAAAGCAAAATGGAACAACAATAAAAAGATTTAGAGACCAAAACAAATGTGGCTGGAGATGCCATGAAGCCCTTGAAGAGAGAGGCTCCTGCCTACTGACTCCCCAGCTGGCAGCCTTGGGCCAGGTGGCACTTCACCCTGAGCACAGGACAAAGAGGGAGTGCAGGGCTGGAGAGTAGATGAAATGAAAGTCCCGAACAGACCCGTGGAGTGCAGATGCACTGGGATTCTAAAGCAGCATCCTCCTTCATCCGTGGGACAGGGACATATCAGCCCAGTTCTCCTCAGGGCCCCCCAGGTGGCCCAGTGCCCAGTGGAGGCCCGACATCCATGAGGACCATCTCTGGAAGCGGCTGTGGTCTCTCCTCCTGAAATCGAATGAGCAAACACCCCGAGGTGCTCAGACCAAGGACGGGAATAGGAACAAACGCTCAACCTCCTGTGCGGCTCTCTCCCATTCAGCAGCTTGGGCTTATTGGGGAGACAGAACTGTCCTCTGGTCATCAATCCAAGTTGGGTGCTTCTGAGCCCCTCCAGCTCCAGAGAAGTGGGGTACAGTTATCTATAATAATAAACACGTAATATGCAAATCGACCGAACGACCAACAGCAGAACGATAGTCTGGGCGACCTTCTGGACGACCACGCTATGACATGCACTGGCACCAGGCCAGCCAAGGCGGGTGCAATGCGATTGGTGGGTGGGGGCCCCCCGCCATCACCCCACGATCACCCCGCAGAAGGAGGCCCAGGCCACCAGCCGGCGGGGCAATTGATGGAGGGAGGGGGGAGCCTCCACAATCGCCCCAAAGAGGGAGGCCCAGGCTACCGGGCCAGCCAGCCGGTGGCCACAGACGGAGTCCCAGGTGGGTGGGTGGGGCCTCCCTCTGCACAGCCATCAATCACAGAGCCCCATGATTGATCGCCCCGAAAAGGGAGGCCCAGGCCAGCCAAGTGATCGCACCCCACGCCTGTCGCCCGCAGAGGGAGGCAACTGGTGACGGGAGGTGTGGGGGGGCAGTGCTACACAGATGGCAAGTAGTGGCAGCGGCGGGGGCAGGGCCAGCTGCTGGCAGCCGGGGAAGGAAAGCCCCAATAGGCCCTGATAGCCGGCCAGGCCGAGGGACTCTACCGGAGGGGTCCCTGATTGCGAGAGGGCACAGGCTGGGCTGAGGGACACCTCCCTTCCTGCACTGGGCCTCTAGTTTAAAAATACATGTGTGTGCCTTGGCCAGAATTGCTCAGTGGTTAGAGCATCAGCCCATGCACCAAAAGGTTGTGGGTTCAGTTCCCGGTTAAGGGCACATACCTGCATTGCAGGTTCCATCCCTAGCCCTGGTTGGGGTGCATGCAGGAGACAACCAATGTGTCTCTCTCACATTGATGTTTCTCCCTCTCTCTCTTATCTCTCTTTCTCTTTCCCTCTCTCCTCCTCCCTCCCTCCCTCCCTCCCTTCCACTCTCTCTAAAAATCAATGGAAAAAATATCCTTGGGTGAGGATTAACAAAAACAAGCAAACAAAATACACATGCGCAAGAAACTTGGGACGGGGAGAGTGGCATACTATGAATTTGGATTGACACTAATGAGCCTGCATTTGAACATCTGAGACTGCTGGACTGAGGGATGGGAGAAGTGGGGCACAATAATACCCCAAAGAGACCCCTTATTCTAACCCATGAGTGAGGACCCTGTGCAGACGAGGAAACTGCCTCAGGCTCAAGTTTTCTGCCACAACACATCGGCCTCCTCACTGGCAGGCTCGCTGGGCAGGCAGAGAGCCAAGATCTGCTTTGGGAAGGAAGGACCCTAGGAAGGAGGCTTATCAACACCACGGGACTATACAGCCAGCCCACAGGGAGGGGGCCCAAGGTTCTCTATAGGACACGTGCTCACCAAACCCCTGGCAAGAACAGCATGCAGCCAGGTCATGGGTGTGTGGGTTGGGGGGGCATCCCGGGAGCTACCTCCTGCTTCCGGCCCGGGGCAGCAGGACTGGGGCACAGGCAATGCCTGCAAAAGACTCAGGGAAGTGCAGGTCGCGTTCCCATTCATCTGTCTCGGTGTTGTAGACCTGCACGATGCCTGTCACATTGTTGAGGCGCCAGTTATAGCCCCCAACAACATAAATTTTTCTGTCCAGCAGGCAGCAGCCAGCCTCTGACTGGCCGGCCCTCATGGGGCTCACGCTGGTCCACTGGTCTGTTTCTGGTACATAGTACTCTACAGCTAGCACGTCAAAGCAGCGGTCCATATGGTCCATGCGGCCACCCAGGGCGTAAATGCGGCCGCCAGCACCCACCATGGCATGCAACACACGGGGTTCGCTCATGGGTGCCTTGAACTCCCACTGGTCGACTGCCGGGTCATAGCAGTGCAGCGCCTTCTTGTCCTCCACGGAGATGCCATAGCCACCCGAAATGTAAAGGCGACCCCCGGCCGAGGCACCTGCGTGGCCCCAGGTGCGGCGCTTCAACGAGCAGGCATAGCCCCACTCGTTGCGCCGCGGGCAGTATCTTTCAACAGAGGCCAGACTGCCGGCCCGGTTGCGGCCGCCCGTGGCATAGACCATGCCGCACAGCACGTTCAGCTGGAACTGGATGCGGCTCTCCTGCATGGCCTGCAAGCGCAGCCATCGGTTCAGGTGAGGGTCGTAGCGGTAGCAGGCATCCACTGCACCCTCCCCACTGCGATACTGCAGGTGCTGGCCCCCGGCCACATACACGAAGTTGTCCAGCACAGCCACGCATGTGTGGCTGCAGCCCACCTCCATCTCTGTGAGCTCGCGGAAGTGACAGGCTCCTGGCTCAGGCAGGTGGTATACTTTGCTACTGACAGCATGGTCACTGTCAGTATAGGGTGTGCCACCAAAGGCCACCAGCGAGGGCACATCAGAGCGCACAATCGTGCGCGGGGACTGCATCTCGTGCTGCCGAAAAGGCAGCACCTGGTAGTTGAAGGCCTCTAGCAGGTACTGGCGGCATAGCACGTCCTCCACCATGAGGTCCAGCGTCTGCACACTATCCACCAAGTCAGACGAGTGCATGAGTGGGAAACGGATATGGCAGAGCACATGGCTGGCGCGTGGCCGCCGGGCAGGGTCATGCTGCAACCAGCGGACAGCAGCTCGGAACAGGTCGATCTCGGCACAGCTCTGTAGGCGGTTGCTCTGCAGGAAGAAGACGAGGCGCTCCAGTGGCAGCTGCAGGAAATCATCTTCCGCAGCGATCTGCAGGAAATGCCGGAAGGTGAAGGCATCCACCGACTCTTTGAGGGAGGCCAGGCTGAAGGTGGTGGCCATGTGACCGATGTGCAGGCAGGTCTCCACGCTCATGGCAGCCTTGAGGAACTCCTCACACAGCTCCACCACTGGCAGCATCTGTAGGAACACAGCTGCGCCCAGCACATCCTGCACACAGTCCAGGTCCAGCGTCACCTCAGCACTGTAGGCAAAGTCAATGATGTGCCGCAGGCCACGCGCTGACAAGCCCTTCAGTTCAATGATGTCCTGGCTGGCCTCCCTCATGCCGCCTGTGAACATGGCCCTGAGGGTCAGAAACACAGCATGTGGGTTCAGGGCACCATAGACATTGTGGCCACTGGGATGGCCTGGCCCTGAGACACTGCCAGCAGGGCTTTGCCCACCAGGGTAAAGCAGGCCAGGTATGCATTAAAAACATGCAAAAAATAAAAGGTTTTTCAATCCACCCTAAGCCATGCATCTTCCTCCCAACAGCACTCTCGGCCTCTCCTGTGGGGCCCCGCCCAACCTCACCCAGATGTATCCTGCACTGGGGTAGGCTGGTTCTGAGGCCGGGGGCCAACTCCCTCCCTCCCTCTCCCCCTACCCCGCTCATGGCATGGCGATGTGGCTGTGCAGAAGGAGACCAAACCTTAGCTTTGGCTCTGGGGAAAAGTCTCCAACCCCATATCAGTGCCCAGCCATGAAGAGCAGTTCCTCAATGAGCTCAGGAAATATAGCGGGGACTCCAAGGGAATACAGATCATGGTTCACAGAGTCCAGTACCTCCCCAGCACACTCACCTGAACAGGTGGCTCCACCTTCCCCCGCCTGAGTCTCAGCTGCTATCACACAGGGATGGGGAGGGAATAAGGGTCCCAGGCTGGAGTGCCTATTGGGGGCCCCTACTAGGGTCACTGATATGTCCAGAGAAAGGCCCGGGTAGTTAGGAGAGCCCCTAAAAATGACCCACAGGAGTCTCAGCCTGCTGTAAGACACCCCCCGCCCCTCGTGAATGGCCCCAAGTCTGTCAGCTGGGCTGTCCTGCTCTGGGGCACAGGACCTGGGACACAGGACCTGGGTCTCAACCCCCCCCCCCCCACAGCCTTTGGGAGGGGCCCCTGCAGGAAGAGGGCTAAGAATCCCAGTGCCTGCTAGAAGTTCATGGCAGGTTCTAAAAGATGATGCATAAGAGGCTCCTCTCAGAGAATGAGCTGGCCTTTCATCATAATTGTGACTGCCATCAACATACATCGTAAACATCATAACGGGTGACTGATGGAAGGGAACTTCCGTTGGCCATTTGCCTAATAAATGCTTGTCACCCAGTCACTATGCTAGTATGGGCCAGGCTTAGGCCCCAGAGTAAGAACAGCTGAGCTTAATGCTGCCTTGGGACCATCAACGAACAACTGCCCAGCACTCCACAAAACAGTGCCATATCGCTTCCAGGAGCAGCGCTCTGCCAGCCCCAGGGCCCTACCCCTTCTTGTCCCCGAGAGTCCCATCGGCCTGTCGAAGGCAGAAACAGTCATTGCGACGGGAGGGAGCTTTGCCTTTTAAGGCCTTGCCGCTGCAGTGCCAGCGCAAAGGAGCCTTTAAAGGGCATTTCTGGCTGGGGCGGCCCGCCCGTCCCCAAATCCAGAATAAAAATAGAAGCGGCGCCCCAGATGGCTTGGTTTCTCCAGCTCCCCAGAAGGGCCTCATTGAGCCCGCAGGGCGGGCAGTCGGGGGCACACTGGGCTGGACACCTAGCCTGGGAGAGTGTGCAGCGTGTGGTGCGCACCTGGGCTGGACTCTGTGACACGGTCGCAGGAGCGCCTCAGCCACCACTGGCAAAGCAGAGTCAGAGACTCACCCCCAGGATGACACTCTTAGGAAAGGGTCTTCAGAGCAGACAGACCCAGATACTCAGCAAGGTCTTGCCTGTCACATGGGGATTGCAACAGAGCCTGGCAAACTCGGGGGCCACCGCCTGGGAGTCCCTCCTGTCCTTCGGCCTGAGTACAGGTATCGCAAGGGCAGGGACATGTGCCAGTCCCTGCTGGATTCTGAGGCCAGCTCACACAGGTGTCAAAAACACAGCAGAAACCTGGCCAAGCCCTGCCACCCCTCAGGACAGAAATGACTAATTGGGTGCCCACAGGCCACTCTGTCCCCCAGGTATGTTCTACTGGCCTGTGTAATATCCCTGAAAAGTCTGAGTGAGTTGCAAACCTTGGAAAAGTGGTAGGTTTACTGACTGTTGGGCCAACACCAGCCACCTTCCCTCAATGCCCTCCCTCCCTAGCTAGAGTTGAACTTGCCCCTCTCAGAAGAATCTGCACTCTCCAGCCCATCCCCCAGGCCTGTGCTCACCTGAAGTAGTCGCTGCAGGCAGCCAGGACCACCTTGTGTGCATGGAAGGTCTCTCTGTTGACTGTGAGCACAACGTCCAGGAGCTGGCCCTGTGAGCGAAGTGTGGCCAGGCCCTGCAGGAGGCTGGTGCTATGGCAGGGTGCAGAGAAGGTGCACTTGAGAGCTCCATTCTTATCAGCCATGCTACGGGAGAACAGGGAGGAGTGTCAGGCTCAGAGGCCTCAGGGCCTCAGCCCGGGAATCCTGGACAGCTCGCCCAGGCTCTGAAGCTGCCCCAGGCTCTGAAGCTGCCCCAGGCATGGGTAAAATCACCAGGATCCGCCCCAGAGAAGTAGAAACAAGATCTGGGTCCTGACTGCCACCTGCCCACTGAGCCTTGGCAGTAGAGTAAAAACCTGGCCAAGCCCTGCCACCCCTCAGGGCAGAAACTGCCATTTGCTGGCGATGATATGGGCAGGGTTTCAGACAGGACCTGAGGAAACCACATGTCCCTCTTTTAAAAATATATTATTTTTTATTGATTTCAGAGAGGAAGAGATAGAAACATCAATGATGAGAGAGAATCATTGATCAGCTGCCTGCTGCACGCCCCTACTGGGGATTGAGCCCGCAATCCAGGCATGTGCCCTGACCGGGAATAGAATCATGACCTCTTGGTTCATAGGTCGACGCTCAACCACTGAGTCACACTGGCCAGGCACATGCCCTTTTCTTTCTTTCTTTTTTTTTTTTTAAATATATTTTATTGATTTTTTACAGAGAGGAAGGGAGAGAGATAGAGAGCTAGAAACATCGATGAGAGAGAAACATCGATCAGCTGCCTCCTGCACATCTCCTACTGGGGATGTGCCCGCAACCCAAGTACATGCCCTTGACCGGAATCGAACCTGGGACCTTTCAGTCCGCAGGCCGACGCTCTATCCACTGAGCCAAACCGGTTTCGGCTTCTTTCTTTTTTTAATTGAAGTCAGATTCACATAACATACAGTTCACCATTTAACATGTACAATTCAGTGGCATTTAGTATATTCACAATATTGTGCAACTACCACCTCTATCTAGTTCCAGAACATTTCCATCTTCCCAGAAAGAAACCCCATCCCCATTAGCAGTCACTCTCTATCCCTCCCTTCACTCATCCCCCTTCCCCATCCCCTGTCAACCACTAATCCACTTTCTGGATTAGTTCGCCTGTTCTGGACATTTCATATAAATTGAATCAGACAACAAGTAGTCTTTTGTGGCTTTTGTGTCTGGCTTCTTTCACTCAGTATCATATTTCAAGGTTCACCTACATTGGAGCGTGTATCAGTGCTTCACTCCTTTTCATGGCCGAGTACTATTCCACTGTGTGAATGTATGATATGAATGCACAATTTCTTTATCCCTTCAACTATCTATGGGCATTTGGGTTACTTCCAACCTCTCCTTTTAAAAGCTCTATTCCATTATTTTTTATTCTAAACGTGTCTCCTGAATGCTGCACGGAGTGACCACTGTCCCCTAAGCCCCAGCCAGCTGCCCCCATGGTACACTTATCGCTCCTCTACAGAGGGTGAGATTAAGATGCTCGGTGCTGGCACAGAGCCCATTGTGAGCAGGGATGAGGAACTTGACCTGCAACTTCTCAGGAGTGCTAGGCCCTGGGAACACGGGTGCCTCAGGCCAGCCTCTCACAGCGGGGAGGGAGGTGCCACCTCCAGAAGGGCCCGGCCTTCAAAGCCCAGCCACTTTGACACCTGCCCAGCATACCTCGTGTGCCCAGCACTACGGGGAAGGGCAGCCACATGACCACAATGTCTCCTTGCCATTTTCAGAAGAATCTGGCTGTGGGCTACACTCTTTGGCTGCCCGGTCAAGAGGAAAGGTCATCAGTCCCATCTGCTAGGGACAGAGCAGGCTGAGCAGCTCATCCATCGCCCAGAGCTGTGAGAGGACACAGCAGAATCTGAACCTGTTCAGGGAAGCAGCAGGCGCACGGGATCTTCCTGTCACCTCCTGGCCAATGTGGGATAAACAGAGCAAATTGTGGGGAAGCCACAAAACCAAGAATATCTACTGTAAGAAGATGGATTTACCTATGAAGGCAGCTGCTGGGGGGATGGGGACAAGAGATTCCTGCACCTCCAAATGAGGATTCAGAAGGCAAAGATGATTTTAGAATTTTTTTTAAATTTTAAAAAGGAAAGTGGTGGAAATAACCCAAATGCCCATCAACGAATGAGTAGATAAATGAAATGTGGTATGTGCACACAATTGAATATTAAGAAGGAATGAAGCTGATTCACGCTACAACGTTGACAAAGATGAAAAATATGATGCTCAGTGAAAGAAGCCAGTCACAAAAGGCCACATGTTGTATGATCACATTTATATGAAATGTCCAAAACAGGCAAATTCATAAAGACAGAAACCAGATTAGGGTTTGTCCCGGGATGGGAAGGGGAAATGGGGAATGACTGCTAATGGGACAGAGTTTCTTCGGGGAGATAACGTATTCTGGAACTAGATGGAGGTGATGGTTGCACAACATTGTAAATATACTAAATGCCACTGAATTGTTCACTTTAAAATGATGGTTTTTATATTATGTGAATTTGACCTCAAAAACAAACAACAGCCCTGGCTGGTTTGGCTCGGTGGATAGAGCGTCAGTCTGTGCAGCACAGTGACCTGAGAGGTCAGGACAGCTGGTGTGACCCCTTGGAGCCCCCTCCCAGGAGCAGACTTGGACTCAACAGTTCCAAGCACCGGTGTGTTGCATTCATCACCAGGACCCCCTAAAGCCCAAACCCAGAGCCTAGCCCTGAGTGGAATGTCTGGGGGTCAGGCAAGGACCCAAAGGCTGGGAGATGCAGATCAGTGAGACCCACTCCTCCAGGAAACCCGCCCAGGCTGTACCACAGACCTCACCTCACCAGGCTCTGGCATCTGATGTGAGAAGCAAAGGGAGGATTCGGATCCCTACCCTGCCATCAGCCAGCTGTGTGACTCAGACACATTCCCTGGTCTCCAGGTCTTTCTTTCTTGACTGTCAAATGGGACAGGCAGGAGCACGGATGTCACAGGGCTGTGGTGAGGCTCCCATCACCTCCTGAGAAGTGATAGACCACAGACCACCTACTTCTCCCAGCTTCCCTTTGGGCTAGGGAGGTGGCAAGGCCCAGTGGGGGACTGTATTCTGCCACCTGTGAGCCACTGAACATGGTCATGCACTTGGGAACTTAAAGCCTGGAACCACTCAGAGCACTGGCACATGGTAGGTGCCCATTGAGCCAGGCGGGCCTCTCTGTGGACACCTGCCTCACAGATTCTGTACATTTTGCTAGTTTGGTTTCAGATGGTCTCTTTTTTTCTTGGAGACTTTGGGGCAGGGCAGGAGAACTTCTTGAGTTTCCCCTAAGCCCAAGGACAGATATGCATGTTCACATTTTCACAAGAAGATATCACACCAAGAGCAACTTTACTGTGGAGCTGCTCTGTCCCTTTATATATGGTCCTCCATATATAAAGAGCCCCAAGAAATCAATACAAAACTGGCAACCTCACAGAAAAATGCACAACTGATGTGGGCTGATGGTTTATCAGTGGTTCTCAACCTGTGGGTCGCGACCCCTTTGGCGGTTGAACGACCCTTTCACAGGGGTCGCCTAAGACCATCCTGCATCTCAGATATTTACGTTACGATTCATAACAGTAGCAACATTACAGTTATGAAGTAGCAACGAAAATAATTTTATGGTTGGGTCACAACATGAGGAACTGTATTTAAAGGGCCAGAAGGTTGAGAACCACTGGTTTATAGGAAAGAAAGCAGCTGGCTGGAAAGACCTGAGAGTAGGCCTCTTCCAAACAGGGCAAGTGTGCTCACCAAGGGACTGGCTCAGGGGGGCAGTCATCAGGTTATCTCACAGCAGACACTCACGCCTGTTCCCAGTGGGAGTGTGAAGTGGGACAACCTCCAAGAAGGCAGTTCGGCAGAACCACATATCCTCACACTAGCAAGTCTACTTCTGGGATTTATCTGAGGTGTGCTCACATGTGCAAGAGAGGAGTGAGAATATTCCCCGCATAGCATTTCTGGGGGCTGAAGATGGGAAACGAGCTAAATGTCCTTCAAGGAGGTACAAAGAATTATGGTGCCTTCTGATAGGGTCTGCCCTTCAGCTGAGCACAGAGGCAATTAAAATGTTCATATATGAGCCGAAACCGGTTTGGCTCAGTGGATAGAGCGTCGGCCTGCGGACTGAAGGGTCCCAGGTTCGATTCCGGTCAAGGGCGTGTGCCTTGGTTGCGGGCACATCCCCAGTGGGAGGTGTGCAGGAGGCAGCTGACCGATGTTTCTCTCTCATCGATGTTTCTGGCTCTCTATCTCTCTCCCTTCCTCTCTGTAAAAAAATTAATAAAATATATTTTTTTAAAAATGTTCATATATGGGAGTTAGGATACCAGGTTGGAACTCCAACCAAGCCCACTGGGCTGCTGCCTACAGGGTGTGGGCCGAACTACAACCAGAGTGAGAAACAGCCACTTTCTGAGTACACATCCTCCGCGTGCTGGGCAAGGCTCCCAGCACCCCACAAGCTGTTTCCTTCCTCCCATCTCAAAGATGGGACAACTGTCCCTAAAGCCCCTGCACTACCCCTCACACATCTCACAGCCTCTGGGGAGCTCAGGGAGGGAGGGAAGAAGCCAGCAGGGGCCAGAGTCCCAGACTGAACAGAGGCAGACATGGCTGGGCAGAGGTGGGCAGGAGGAGGAGGGAGTGCTGAGGCCTGGGACCAATGACTAAAGCAAGGACCCATTACTCAGGCCAGCCAGACAGGGGGCGGCCGCTGTGGCGGGACTATAGGCCTCCTCCAGGAAGGCTGCTGCCGCCTTCCTGGGCCAGTCGGAGTCTTTAGACAGCCACCCGAGCATGGTCACTAGCACTGAGTCATCGGAGCCAGTGCGTCAGCAGCTGGTCAGAGTGTCTCTGGAGGCTGCTCACTGCTGTCCTGGATGACTCTCTGCCCGGATCTGGACGCTGAGGGGCTGCACATGCCCCCACAGACTTGGCCTGGGCTTGAGATTGTCCTGATCCCCTACCCCTGTGCTGGCGCCTCCCCTTCCTCCAGCACTGTCATTGGGAACCTCTGGCCGGGCCCAGGCCTGTGCTAGCCATGGGAACATGGCCTCTGCTT